AACAATAATATCAGGTTTATTGTCGTTATTTACATCGACGACTGCTACTGAGTATGGATTAGTGCCAACTGGATACGTAGTTTGAGTATTAAAAGTGCCGTTGCCTGCGTTGAGAAGAATACTAACGGTGTTCGAACCATAGTTTGCAACTACAATATCAGGTTTGTTGTCGCTATTCACATCGGAGACTGTTACTGCCAGTGATTTAGTGCCAACTAAGTAAGTAGTTTGATTAAGGAAAGAGTTGCAGACTATTAAATATAAAAATTATTTTTAGTATATTGGATGATTTAGAGACAAAAATCCATTGTTAAATTGTATAGAATTTGATTGACTGTGTGGGTGTGGGTATGGATAGTACATTCAGCTTCGTATATAGATACTAGCTTGCCTTTGTAGAAAGATCAGTTTTTTATCTTCAGAAGTTTTCTATGCAATAAACTCGTCTTGTTTATTCGAATTTGATATGATTAGAAGTATTAAGTGTTTAACTCCACACTCACCACTTGTTGTTGAAGTTGATGTTGATGATGATGTTGTTGATGATATTGCTGTTGGTGTTGATGATGTTGTACTCGGCTCTGTTTCGGAAAAAAGAAATTAATGCAGTGTAATACAATCCGAAGACAGATACTAATCACTAGCGAATACTACAAATTACAGTCAGTAGAAAATATCATTCATATATTAGCAAATGTTTTTAGAATTTAAAAAACATAAACGTCAAATTCATTCAAATCATTAGAATTTGTGTATATAAATAGTTATCATATTTTTGTAGTATTGCGAAATGAAAACTTACGATATTCTAGAATATTTAATATTGATATTGATGATTGATTAAGAAATATAAAAGTAGAATTCGAATAAAATTCAACATAAATTGTACTACTATTTGAACGAAATAATTGACAAGTTTGATTTGTTGAAAAATAATTCAAAGCAGATATTGAATCATTTACTTTGATCATTTCACATATGCATTGATCTTCTGTTACATTGAGTAAATTATTATACATGTTACCAACTATTATAATATTTTGTATTTTAGTAATAAGAATAGAATTACAAACACAAAAGAATGATGAAATAAATAATATCCAAAACATGTTGTACTAACTTGTATCACTAGTTTTTTTCTTCTGTTTTCTACAGCACTCTATCTCTCTAATTTAATAAGTGTTCATTCCCGGAAAAAAGCGCCATACGTTTTGCAACAAGTTTTTTTTCCAACAAGACTGATACATCCATAACTACACTATATTATTGTTGTTTCTTTAACTATTTAAAAGACTGAATTCGTTACCATTGAGATATTAACAAAAGAAAAAAAAGTAGTCATATTCTGCTGCAAATTACTCTATTTTTAATTACATTGTCCTTTGGAAGTATTTTTCAAATATCATGAAAGACAGAAAAAAAGTGGTGATATTAACTAATGACTTCATCTGTATGCTCAGTAAACGCATTTCATTGATGAAAAAAAATTGCGTCTACTTATTTCATATATAGTGAACGTAGGCATTGACAACAACAGGAATAAACACATATATTCTATTGTTTTTCATTGATTTTGTCGATGACGTCGAATATAATCTTATCTATGATATTTTCAAATAAAAACCACTGTAATCAAATATTTTTGGGTGTGGGTCGGGGTATGTGTGTGGCTGCGGATTTTATCATGTTATCTACACGCACTCTCACACCCACAACCTTATTCTCTGAAGATCATCATATTTAATTTTAATATTTTTTTTTGTTCTTTTGTTGTTATTCATATCGACTTATAAATACTCATTTTTTTGAAATATTAATAATCTTAGGAAATGTGATTTTCATAGAATCTTTCTCATCATATCAATATTGATAGAATTTAAAGTTTATTATAAAAAATCATATTTTATTTTTGAAAATATTTGTTAAATTTTCAAAAATTGACTTCAAATAATATTCGTATAGAAATAATATTGAACAAATTTTCTTGTTGTATTTCAAAAATCTCATTCTGATTTTAATATATCATATTATTCTGTATTCAGTAATAAATAAAAATAAAAATAAATTTATTTATCTTCTTTTAATTTAAACAATTAAGTTGATTTTTATTAAATATTTATGATTATTATGATATTTAATCATTAAAAATATTTTATTTTATCTTTTACAAATAAAATAAATTTAATTTTCTATTTCTCATAAAAATAGTTTTCATTTAAAAATTCTAAAAAGTTTATCTAAATAAACATTCAATTTTCACAAGATAAAAGATGGACTACGACAAAATCAAAAATCGGCTCGATTATATTACGAATTTTATTTTTAAATCCCACGTGCACGACAG